AAAAGTAACTATACTGAGGTAGACAGTAGTATCACATATGATAGTGAAAAAATGATATGAAGTATTATATCACACCTGAAAAAGGAAATGAAATATTGCCCATATTGACAATATTGTCCATGAAACTGAAATATTGCACCTGAGGAATGAAAGTATGAAATGCTGCACATGATTCAGGAACTACTGAGAAGTAACATCACAGTGATTATTGAAGATATTGTTTAGATATGAAGCCAAACAAGATGCAGTGAGATGAAAATGACACTAGACAAGGAAGCTGGAAGTTGCGTGATGAGATTAAAACTTATATCTGGTGTCATAAATAAGGGTGAGATCCACGCTTGATTACTCCCAATCGGACAGCAGCACATTTCCACCACGCGTCCCGGCAAAACCTCTGCTTTGGCAACACGCTGCCTGGCTGCGATGACGCACAGCTCGACACAGCGAACACAAACACGGCTCCCAGTATGCAAAATAGAGAGCCAGGGTGCTTCCTGTGATGTCGTGTGGAGCCGTAAACAGCGGCGCTCAGGTTCAAGTCATGGCCAAGGTTGGCCTGCAGCACAGAGGACACTCCTCAATGCCTCGTTTGTCTCACCGGCCAAATCCACTTACTGCAACTGCACCGCTGGTGTTCTCATTTTACCCGAGGTTTCTTCCAAAAAGGTAGTTTTATAGATGTCAGCGAGTCATTCTGTACAACTGTGGGGACCTGAGCCAAACCACCGAGCTGTGCATGTGCAGTTTTTCTCTGTGAAGGCCTCAGACTCCACCCTGAACTTATCTTCTGGCCATCAAACAGTCACGTCCTGTTCGCTCGAAAGGCGGCTTGTTAAAATGTTATAGTTTGAACAGGGACTGTGTTAAATTTGAGTGACGAAGGGGAAAAATTGAGCGAAACGTCCACGGAAACCTCAAACTGCTGCTTTAAGCCAGTTAAGGTGGCAACTAATGATTATTTTCACCACAAACCAAGTTCCAGGCAGTTTTTCTGGTTATATGATCAAAAATTTAGTTCAGAAAATGTCAGAAAATGTGCATCAGGATTCCAGTAGCCAAACATCAAACAATCTAATGACACAAATAATTGATGGTCTGCACTTTTTGACCTTTTTGACTTTGGCCCATAGAGGTGATGAAGGTCAAACAGCCAACCCTGTGATTTAAAACGATCATAATTTACCATTTTGAATGTATTTATGCAGTTAATCACTTTGAAATAATGATACAAATCAAAGTCAGATAAAATAAAATAATAATTAAAAATCTGTTATTTTTCTTTAAAACCACAGAAAGTGTCAGTATAGTTAATTTACATTTAATTATAATAAAAAAGATGTAATGTTTAACAGTCAAAGAGTATCAGTTATATTTTTAAAAAAAACAAAAAACACAGGAAAAAACCCTGTAAAATAACTTATTTGAGTTAAATTAAATTTACAGTGAGAAAAATATTAAATACATTGTTTATGTCCTGCATCTCTATGGAAACAGCACAACCATGGCTCGAAGTTCAGAAACGTCTCCTGTGCAGAATAATACAGTTATAATGTCCTAAACTGTCTACCAACACTGGCAAAATCATGCTACAGATAGTTAACTTTTTACGTTTTTACAGCCTCTACAAACTTTTTCATTCAACTCTGCTTAACTGTAGAAAGATGTTTCACCATGCTGGATGTATCTTCCAACATATTGCCGTATACCAGCCATGCTGCATTTATTTTATTGATCCAGTGTGTTTTGTTTTCCTCTTAGTCTCTCTCGTCGTCTTTTCCATGCTTTGTGGAAACACTGCCTGCAGTTCAACAGAAAACTCTTTGGATTTTCTGGACTTGACTGTTGGTCAAAGCAAAGTTAATCATGACTTCTTAATTGCACCAAGGAGCACAAACTTTTAGTTTTAGACGTAATCTGGTGCAAACTGTTAATTTTTTGTGACTTTTAAAAACACGAGACATGTAGAATAAACTAATTTTGATGAAATATCATGATTTTAAACTTTGATTATCTTTCCTGACTGTCGGAAAGTTGAATTTCTCCTCCAAAATTCAGTTTTTACAGTTTCTGGCTCTGATAAATGGTGTAATAAATGGTGTAACTTCAGGTCTTTCAAACCTGCTTGCTGCTGTTGGGGTTTAAAGGTGTTTATCAATCATCAAAACAGTCAATTTTCTTCTCATTTGGCTAATCAGTGAACTAACTACCTAACTGACTGCATCGATGTGCTGACAAATCACTAACAAGTTTTGCAAAATTCCATCCAAATACACAGCTTCTCTTCAAACGCAGCACCCTCTGTGTTGGTAAACTACAAACCAACAAGTGTTTCATGCTCAAAATGAATTTTTATCTCAGGCACAATGGGTTCTTCTGAGGGGTTGCATTCCCACCGGCAGGCCTCGATGCTGCCGAGCTGCAGGGCTGCATGGGCACAGCTGGGCATTTGTTCCCAGAGACAGAGAATTCAGTGTGTACAGCAGCTTGTGCATGGCATAGTTAGAGTTGATTCGGCCCTGGTTGCACTCTTATTGCCATCAGCTACCTGGTTTGAACCTCCAAGACGCAGTGTGGAGGTTTAACAGTGGATGGGAGTGTCTGGCTGGGTTCATTTAGTTCCGAATTACCCCTTTTCCATGGACTCTCTGTTTGGCAGGATTAGATGTTTAAATACGCGTGAGGAGGTCACTTATTTCAATTAAATCCCGTCTCAGAAGCTTAGATGTTGGATACAGGGCTTCCTCTGTGCACTGTGTTTGTTTATAGCATCAGTTTTTAAAGGACTGGATGATCACGTCACGAGCATTTCCCATCCGATTGACGCGTCTTTGTGCTGAACGTTATTAATAATACAGCGCCAGCTAACAGCTTAATTATTCATGCATTTATGGCTGCCCTTTGTTTGTGCTCGTTTGTAGATCCGACGCAGGAGGCCAACACCTGCCACGCTGTTCAGAGTCGCCGACCAATCATCTCCTGAGGATGATCAGTCCACCCATCAGGTAAAGGTGAAGTCGAAACACCTTTTAATACTAGGTGTCCGTGTATCCTCATATATCCTCCCCAAGAAGTAAACGTTTTGCTCCCAACTTCAAAGATTCTAACTTTTTTCTTTAATTCCCTGTTTGTCCCTGTGATATGTCCACCCTCACAAACCCATGAGCCATTGTTCAAACCCAAGCCCTTTTTATTTCATTTCAAATTCTTCAAGGTTCATTCTTGACTAGGGAAACAGCTATTTGACTTCTGTACAACATTTTCTTAGCATCAAAATATGCATTCTTACCACCATGCAATAGCAGTAAAATAGTTATAATTCTGCCTTTATTTGTTTTATTACCTTTCTAAAACTGAGATAATGATTTACAGCAAATTTATAAAAGAACTAAAAGTAAATAATCCTTACTGATGCTGAAGTAAAGTGCATTACAATGATCGAGTTCAGAGGTGGTGGATGAGCTTTTCTTAGTTTGAAAAATAAGGAAAAAACTTTAGAGATCAGGATGAGCTGAATGAAGCAACACTGTATGTGCCTTGTCAGCTGAGCATTAAAGTACACACATTTATTTAACATCAGTGAACAACATTCCCAAACCAGGCATAAAATAATTGGTATTGTTTCTACAGTTTATTCTACAGATTATTATGATTTCTGGTTTGGAGTCATTGAGGACTTATTTTGATATACAGTGTTTAATGTCAGGGAGTAAGGAAAACACATCATTACTATTGGGCTTAAGCACAACATACAATTGTGTGTCATCTGCATAGAAGTGATTATGGATGTTATATTTACTGAGAATTTGTTCCACTGGAAGCAAATACATGGAAAATAATAAAAGATCCGACATGGATCCCTGTAGAACTCCGTAGGTGAGTAGAAGATGTGACAAGAATTACTGAGAAGGCCCTATGTGAAATGTAAGAAACTAATCACTGCAGAGCCACATCACTGATATCAATAAAACCTTCCAGATGGTTGAGTACATTTTTGTTGTGTCAAAGGCTAAGGTAAGATAGAGGAGAATTAAAAAGTGAGAATGCAAAAATCTGACGACTGACATTTCTGAAAAGCAAAACCTGTTGTACAAGTATTGCATCGCATGCGTGGTCACTGCATGTTAGGACACACCCATAGGAATAAAGGGAATGAAGAATTTTTTTTTTTAAAAATTGATGTTAAGGGGCATTTATGAAAAAACAACAACAACAAAAAGTGATCTTGGGTTTGAATATGTGTCCAAATCATTAACTGCATCATCATCATCATCATCATCATCATCATCATCATCATCATCATCATCATGTTTTATGCAGAATGTAAAGCACTTTGTATTGTGTAATTTGCAGTACATTTAAATATCATGCCTTGTAATGCTGAATTTTTGAAACTATGACATATGTAAATTTGTTGTACACTTTGGCACATGTTTTTCTAACCCTTTATGCAACATAAGGTGGCTTTCCACTGCAGGAACTAAGCACAGATTTCCATTACAGTGCAGAATCCAACAGTTTCAACTGCACATAACTACCATGTGAGAAATGGTTTGCTATGCTCACCTGTATGGTGAATTTTCTGTTGTTAACATTTGAAAGAAGACTACTATTTGACAATAACATCAAGAAGGCAGAAAAACACCTGTTATTGTTCTCTAATCTGCACAAATCTGCACTTGTCTTCTCCGAGTTTTACCAATCAGCACAGATATCCACCCAGAAGTTTTTTTTTAGAAGTTTCTAACCTAAAGTAAATACTTTTTTCTACCCTTAAAATGTCCTTGAAAGAGGTTCTTTAAGGACTGGAACATGCAAAACAATGCAAGTTCCTGCAGTGGAAAACAACTTAATGTGTTTTACTTGTTGTTGCTTTACTTCTTTTAAGGGGTTTCTGAGCTTATGTTCAAGATGAGAACAAGATGTGCGCATACAGTCTTAACACCACAACTTGTTTGGAAGCCATAGCAGCTTATACAAGTGTGATTAGGCCTTTAGTGCAATGTGAAAAACTAAGTTTTCAGCATTGCATCCAGCAGATCATCCATCAAAATAAACCATAGCTGCATTTTGTTTTTAGCTTCCTGGAACTTTTCACAAGGGAAATGAGCCATACCTGAGGTTAAATGTTAAGAAATCTTAAAGAATTAAGCTGGTTTTTGTGGAAAAGCACATCAGTGAGTGTTCGGAGGGGATCTTTAAGGAGAAGTCGTATTAATGTTTGTCTTTCTTCATCCACAGTGGGTCGTAGGCGAGAATGGCGTGCTCAAACCAAAACGTGTTAATCCAAACGTGTACCAGCCTCCATCACTCAAAGGTTAGCAGCTTTCATTCTACAGGTGGCGGTTGTGTGTGTCGTGCTACTCCCTTTGTGTTTATTTTTTTGTTTTACCGTGCTTCGCTGCAGTCATTCTTCCCCCCCTCCCTTTTGCTTTTTCTGAAGCCTTGCATGCGACAGATGGGTAGATATGCAATAAAAGGGCTTTATATCATTCTTTTTTTTTTTTTTTTACTTCCTCTGTGCATGCGCGTTTGTAACATGCATAGGCGTGTTTTCTATGTGTTTCTGCTCTTATACGCCCAACAGCAGGACCCATATATCTGTGTGGAGAGATTAGAGTGTGACAGCTGTGAGACACTGAGTGTGAGTCGAGGAAAGTCTGGATCATCCAGGATTACAGTCAGTTGTGTATACAGCTGTGGCGCGCACACACAGAAACAGGCATGAACACACACATATATGTAGGCCTGAGTAAAAAAAAAAAACATGCATGAGCTTTCTTTTGTGTCTTCGTTGGCCATTAAAGAATTTGTCAGCAGAGTTTCATCTATCTGGGATTTCTGGGTGTCGAGTGATGATATAATGAGAGGAAGCCTCAGAAAAGTGCCCTTGAAACAGAATCATTTCTAGTTGCATAAGCTAAAAAAAAACAAAAAAAAACGGTGTATGTGAGGGTGTGAAAGAATGAAGGTGACCTCGAGGAAGCCAGAGCTGAGATAATATCAGTCGAGGAAAGACGAGGATACAAACAAACAGATGGGAAAACAACTATAAAATCAGTGTGTGTCTGTCTGTCTGTCGGTGCATGTGTTTAACTGGCGTCCTGCCGGTCTGGCACGCGTTCAAAAAAACCCTTGATAAAAAACTGACAGTGTTGAAGCGTGGTAAAACCAAAAACAACATATCCCTCTATCCCTGTGTCCATGTGTCGGTGTGGTCCTGTTGTGTGTTTGTGTGTTCACCTGTGTGTAGCTGTGCAGAAGATGGCTGAAGCGCATATGCAGAACCTAGGTGTCTACCCTCCTTTGGAAGACCCTTGTGAAGGGGAGGAGGATGAGGAGGACCAGGAGGGAGAGGAAGCATCTCCCACCAAAGCTGCTGGTGAGAGGGAGGCTCTGTGTCGACAGCCTGGGACGACAACAACACTGTGGCTGCAAGGACAACACTGTGTTTGTAGAGGAAAAATACACCTCGAGGCACTTTAAAGCTGTCCAAAACACAACCGCTGGCACTTTGACTGGATTTTCCTTGTTTGGTTTGGTTATTTTTGTGAGCATGAATAGTGTGAAGTCACCCAGCACAGCTCCAACCAAAAAAAGAACATTGATTTAATGCAGCAAATGAGGGTTTCTGCTACGCTTCGGCTGATTTCAAAGTCATCAGAATTGAAAAACAAATGTTGTATGCATGCACAATCTGGAAAATTGTGCAACATTTGTAAACTTTCAGTAAAAATCCTAATCTGATATCACAAAATCTGACTCAGACTGGAGATATTCAGCAATTTCAAAGTGTCCACAGGTGTATTTTTCCTTCTAGTTTGTATGAATGACACAATTTCCCGCTTTCCCCGACACTTTCATTGCTTTTTACATAATGTGAAATTTCAAGATTATTTTTAGCGTGTTTTAGGACTCCATTGTTGCTATTTCTCGCTTAAACAACAAGCTCTAAACATTTAAAAAGTTGTCTTTTATGACAAAGCTTATGCCTAAACATCCTAATCAGTCTTATTCATGATTATCTATATTAATATTTCACTAAATTGGCTCCGTTTATTTAGGTTTACACATAATATTACACTCAGGTTGATGTTTGTCACCTAAAGTTTTCTCAAAATTTGAGATTTCTTCATTGTGGCATCCAAACATTTGGCTCCATTCAGGTTGCGTTTTGGGTGGCAAATTAAAGGAAAAACCAGAATAAAGTGACTTAGCAATGCGTTATTGACTACTAGAACAGCCTCAGTGCTCCTGGGTATTGATTCTCCAAGTTTTGGGAACTTCATTCCAAAGATTAACACTATTTCTCTAAAAGATATTCCCTCATTTGGTGTTTCAAAGTCAATTTTATTTATAAAGCACATTTTAAAACGACAAGAGCTGAGTCTGAGTGATGCACGATTACCACAGCGGGCCATAAAACCCAATAAAACGCAATGACTGTGAGACAAATCTGCATAAAAAGACAAGAAAATATTAAGTGCGCAATAAATAATGCTATAAAAGATGAAGTTAGAGTGTCAAGCTCTACTTGAATCGAATGCCAATGTGAAGAAGAGGGTCTGCAGTGGAGACTTTCTGAAGTGTGAGCAGTTTTTACATACAAACTGTTCCAGATATTAGACGCAGCCACCGCAGAGGCTCGATCACTACTATTTGTGTCTCCGAATGTCAGAACATCCAGGAGCATCTGGTTCCTCATTGCTCTAAGCAGCGTTTGAAGATGCCAGAGTTCTACTAAATTAGGTGAACCAATTAAAAAAAACTAAAGTCTCACGTAGCAGTTATTAAAGCATGAGTAACTTTGTCTTTTGAAGTAGAAACCAGCCATCATCTTGGTTAAAGTCTTAACTGGTTTTGACCCCCAAGCTGCTCTGTCAGCCAAATTTAAATCAGATCATGGAGATCATGTCAAGGTTTTTCACGAAAGATCAATTCAAAGCCACAACAGTCATCCCAAAGGTACAGCTGACTAACATTTCAGTCTTATTTTCCTAAAGATTGAGAAGGTTTAGATCTGTCTTACTTTAAATATCTTTAAAGCAGACCAGCAAGAGCTACACTGAATCTTTATTTTTTATTTTTATACACAGATTTCTTTCTATATTGTCAGTAAAACAATATTAACTGCAGAGGCAGCATATACAACAAAAAGAGGATGGGACCCAAAATGGAGCCTTGAGGGACTCCACAAGTAAATGGGGCTATAGAGGTCAGGGGTTCAGCTTGTTCTTTTAATTTGTCACCCGTCTGTAGGTGGTTTTATTAACAGTCTGAATGCTAAAAACAAACAAACAAGTAAAGAATTTTTTCAAAATTATTAAGTGCGCCAGAATGCTGTAATGTTCAAAAACTGTAAAAACAATAGTCTTTGTTTTCATTTTTGTCCGAGATTTTACTAAATATTATCTGTAAATTAACAAAACAGGGAAAATCTGTAAAATAATAATAGCATTTTCTTCAAATGACAGCAATTATCTCTAAAAATAATTATGTTTCTTCCTTTTTCATACAGTAAAAACTAGTGTTATTTTATGATCTAATCATTTGTAAAAAAATAAATAAATACAAAATACAGATTTTTAATGCAGATATTATTTACATTTTTGTACTGTGATTTTACTAGTTATTATCTGTAATGTTACTAACTTTAAAAATCTGTGAAATAACTAAAAGTTATTCCAAAAATTACAGTTAAACATTTACAAAACATACATTTTCTAGAGTGCATCATTAGTTGTTAACTGATAACGAAAATCATTGCTGCAGTCCTACTTGACAGATTTTCATTAATGTTTTGTTCAATGTTTGTTTCTCGTCAAAATTGTGTATTTGATATTATTGAAAAGCACATAGTCTGATGCTTAATTAACTCATGTATGAGATAATATTTGAAAAGATGAGTTATTGAGAAAAAAAGGAATATTTCTGGTGTTCCATTCTAGCAAAACAGGAAACATCTGCAGCTGAAAATGATTTTTAAAAGATATGTTTTGCTCATATAGCGCATCAAAGTGTTACTTGTTGTCAGTAGAGCAGAGCTGCTGTTCTCTGTAGAAGAGTGCTGCTGCTGTTGTCAGAGTCCAGGTGAAAGTCTGTGTTGAATGTCAGCCTCAGTGTCATATCAGCTTCAGCATCAACACCTAAACCAGTCAGAAGGACCAGCTGGGATCAATGTGCAGAACAAAGCCATGATCCTGTTCTCTGTTCTTCTCTATTTAAAACATTTTGACCGAGTTTGAGTTGTAAATCGCATCCAAATATCTGTGCAAATTTGGTCTCCAGCACAACTAAACTGCAAAACTCTGCACAAAACTTTTCCGCGTGTACACTTGCTCATAATAAACAAGTGTGTTTTGTTTTATGATGCACAATTATTGGTTCATAATCTCCACCGTGTCACATGAGAGCGGCGGCATTTCATTCAGAGTTATTGCTCTGTGGGCCCAGATGACAGACTCTCTCAGTAAATCCCTTTATAGAGGCTGCAGAAACACAAAGTACACAAACAGGATGTCACTGATTGGGTCCGTTGATTGCACTTCATCTGTTCTTTTAGTCAGAGTTGGGGCTCACACAGAGGGCAAATCAAGGAAACTAAGTTATGTGATCAGGTAGCTGCTCATCATATGACTGAGGTCTGATGAAAATTCAGTTTACTACATGGAAAACTTAGCAGGAATCAGGACACGCAGTCGCATCTGATGTGTTTCTAATCTTCTAAAGTGGTTGTGCAGCTAATAAAGGAAAACAAAAAGCACTAATGGCATGTAAAATCACCAGAATTATTGCAGTTGTTCTTTTTAACACTCATCTCTTCTCAGATATTATGTTGAGTTAACCAAGTTTCAATGTGTGGGCTTATCAACAACAACAAATATCGATCAAAAAACCCCAAGGAAAAATAAAATAAAAATGGAAAAACAGTTTTTAAACAGTTTTTAACTGTAACTTATTGTAAAATGCCCTCTTATTTTACAAATATTATGTTTTTTTTTGTTAGATTGCAAATAATATCTGGTAAAATCACAGAGAAAACATATGAATTTACATGTAAACAATAAAATCAGGTCATAACTGTACATAATTTTTAGTTAGAACAATTAGTAATTTGTTCTTTAACAGGGTTTGACCATAAAACTGCATAGCATATTTGAAACCCACCCAAAGTATCAATACTTTACAGACATTTGCAGTTATTTGAAAGACAGTTTATATATATTAAAGATTGAAAAATGAAAAAAAGAATGTTGACTGTAATTTTCCAGATTTTTACTAGTAAAACAAAAACGACACTGAAAAAAAATCTTAATTTCAGTATTGATGGAAAAAACTAACAAAAAACAAAAACAAAAAATAAACAAGGAAACAAAAAAAATCATGCCAAAACTTTAAATAATGTCACATCAAAAATCTGTATTTTTAAAAATGGTAATTTACCCTTTCACAATGTATAAGCATAAAATTACACATATTTACTGTATTTATATAAATATCTATATTTAAATTTGATAGAAATACCATTGCTTTACAGATATTTGCCATTGTTTTCAGTTTTTTGTGTTTAAACGTGAAAGCATTCAATAATTTTTAAAAATATTTTTCCTGGTGCCCTTGTTGCCAGATTTTCACAGCTTCTACTGTCTGTCTGACCTGAAGTCAAAGATGTTAGTTTACAGGCTTGAATCAGGGAATTGTTCAGGATTTTACAATTTAAAAAAGCAGAGTACCATCAACTAAAAGCCAAAACCAGCAGAGTTGATTTCACTGCAGCCTTTAACGCCAGTGTTTGTGCACCCAGATCACCAAGAGACGGCGACCACCGAACAGTCTGACAAGTTTTCCAGCGTGAGAGAGTCGACCAAGCAGATCCAAGCGGCGCCGGAGGAAGACGAGGAGGAGGACGAAGACAAGGAAGGAACCAAAACGGAGGCGACAACAGAGGAGAACAGTCGGGGATGCAACTGAGAGCAAAACGCTCGGAGGAGAGGGATGGTTTAAATCTGAAGAACTCAGAGGAAATGGGTGGTGTGCTTCTTTATTTGTGTGTGCGGATGTTTGAATGTGCGGAGATGAGATGAATGATACTTTCATGAAATCAGACATGTGAGTGAGCAAAGATTTCACCTCCAAAAAAGGGTCCGGTGGGTTTAAAACAGAGGACAAAGAGGGAGTTTGTGTTAGTTATGAGCAGGTGAGGATCGATGTACTGACAGAGCAGCCTGCAGACGCCACTTTGGCCCTTAGTGTCCCTTTGTTTAGAATGAGAGCGGATGGAGTCAAGGTCAATGCGACCAAAAAAAAAAAAACCCTACGAGACCGGACCTCCCTCCACCTTAATGCACACAGAACTAAACGTTCCTTTAAAGAGGGCCACAGTAGACACAAACAAACGTTCTCGGGTACATTTTAACAAGGACGGTCTCCTCTGAGACCCTTTATTAAAACACTTGAAGGTCTTTAAACGTGTGCGCGATAACATGCGTTCCACTTGATTCTGAAACCACGGCCTTCTTCGTTGTTCTGATTTGCAGCGTGCTCAATGTTCAGCCCTTTGTGTGTGCCGCCATCTGGTGGTAGAAAGTAGGAAGGACAGGTTTAAAGTGCTACTCCAGCTCCAATCAGCCAATTAAAGGTCCCATATTGTGCCTCTTTTGAATAGATTAATGAAGGTTTCACACGTCCCCAGAATGTGGCTTCATCTCAAAATACTGAAAAGATGGTTAACTTCACTATGACTGTATAACTCCTGGTTTTAGTCTGTAGCTTTAAATGCAGCTGAGCCTCTGGTGCCCTTGCCCCCTTCAGGAAGAAGACTCTCTCTGCATCTGTGAGACTTTCCATCCAAACCAGTCTCCACAAAATGACATTCCTACGAAACTAGACTGTATTCTCAGTTACATTTTGAGGGAAATGCTTTTTCTGCTTTGTATCATAGACACGTTTCTAATCAATGCATCTTTGCGGTTCATTTTATCGCCTCAGTCTTTTTCAGCCAACAAATTAATTACATATTAGATGGGGTGGGACTTGTCGCCTTGGTAACCCAGAAAATGGAGGAAGAGCTTCAAACATATAGTGAAAGGTCATGTTTGAACTGTATTTTTCTTAACCCTAGCCAAGTGATTTTGGGGCCAAAATTAAAACATGACAGAAAAAGAAACTTGAGTTTGACACTAATGATCTCTTGTTCACTGCAGGACATGAATATCGGTTTTGTTGGTGAAAATCTGGTCACTGGTTTGCGCCAACAGTCTTTGACGGCCCCTTCAAAATGTAACTGAGAATGCACTTCAGTTGTACGGGGACATAGTTTAGTAGAGACTAGGTTTTTCTATTGAATCTAGGTTGCTCTTTGAGTGATCATTTGGAAATATTGTTGAATTCAAAGCAAAGCTGTTGTTTTTATCTTGTGTTTGGGGAGTTTGTCATACGACGTTGACTGCTGTCTAACATTAGTCTTAACGAGCTGCTTTTCAGTCGCTGTTTTAGAAGAATCTTTGAATGAGAACAGCATTATTGGGAATTTATCTGTATTAACATGCAGTTTGTGCGAGCACAGAGAGCAGGAGAGAAGCTAACAGATGTAAACAGAAGCTAAGTTTAGGCTGACCTGAAGCACGACATGCGACATGAAAACATAGAAACTCACCAAGTCCTTGTTTATTGGTCTAAACTAGAGTTTCCAGCATCTCTAATTGTTTCTCAGTGTTGCCACAGAGCTCTGACCTGTGGGCAGACCATCAAAGCTAATGTTAGCCACATTAGCTGCACAACATGCTTACACTAAGGATTCTTGTTGTTGCTGTCGGGACATGACTGTCAACAGTAACAGGGGTTCAGTTTCTCAGATGCTGGGAGTGCATCAAGGCTGTTGTGTTCACTGTTGCAGCCAAAAGCGAATCATTTGGTGTACTTTGCTGGTGATTATTGGTATCTATGTAGAAACTGTACTTAATGTGGAAATAGAGAACAGCTTTTAATGCACCTAAAGGTTTATTACAACCACAAAACACAACAAAAAGTATGGATTGTCACCATATGGGACCTTTAAAGATAGAATCCAGAGTATCTTCATGGAATCAAATTGTGTTTTTAATGCTAATTATGCTCTCTAGCCTCTTATTGTATTCAGTAATTATTTCTCTATATTGTAGTTTATCACTATTTAGTTCGAGCTACTCTTTGTTCTTTTATTGATATCAGCCTCACAGTTTACTTTTTACTCTATTAACAGCTAAATGAATTTGCTTCACACTGTATGCTGCCAAATCCGACGTGAATAAATGAATTCTTACTTTAACCTCTTAAAAGTTTGAAAGGTTGCCAGCTTCTTTTTCAGCCAGTGAGAAAAGCAGAAGCTTTAAATAAAAATCAATGATGTTTTAAAGCTTAAATAAATATAAATACACTTGAATTAACTTCTTCAATCATTTCTGTATCATATTCTACTTTTTATTTTGGTTTTTAAGCTTAGTATTTATCAGTCAGGTTATAGTCTACTTTGAAAAGATGATTGTTCAAATTTCTTGCCTTGGAGTATCACTTTAAAACCCACGTATGATTCAACGATCAGCACCAAAATGTTTGTCTTTAATTTCAAAACCACGAGCTCGCTGAGTGTGTGTGTTTTTTTTTTTCCTTTTAAATGATTTTGGTGTATTTGAAATTAAGGGCGAAGCTACCTCTATTTTTTTATTTTATTTTTTTTTTGCAAAATACCCCTCCGTTAACTGCCTCCACGCATCACAGCTGGATTCATCGTAAACTGACAAACTGTTTTTGGGAGCGAAAAACTAAATTTTCCACGACTCATTTGGGATTTTCTCAGTGCTCATGGATTCCCTTTTGTATATTATGACTTTTATAACGTCATCTTTTTAATTGTTCCCTCATGATTTGTACGTCTTGGGTCTGTTGTAAGAGCTATTTTTCTAATCTAGAGTCCTGCTTCTACTGCCTATATCCAAATACACATGTAGCATGCAGAACCAGGAGCCTGAAACGAGGCACCGCGGCTACTGTATGACGGACATTTCAGCAAAACTGTCCCTGCACAAACTTTCTGAACTGTTTTTAACACAGATAGAGCATCACTTTTTCTTCTCGGAGTCGTTTTCAATCAGCGTCTGTCTAGTTTAATTTACCAGTTCAACTGAAAATAAAACGTGATCTGACTGGTTTGTGCCACAGGATGAATAAATCTGTATCATCCGGGCTGCTGTTTGTATATAAGACTTTGTGAAACTTTTTTTTTAACCTCTGACCTCCCCACCTCCTCCTCTAATCCTCCTCCAGGTCAGAAGAAAACAGCCATGGAAAGACATGTATGAACTCTTATGCTTATATTTTTTTTTCTTTTATTCTCCATTCTCTTGTTTCTCAATGTGATGTGGTTGTTTTAAAGTGAGCAACTCTATGATATCAAAATAAACAAATTTTCTTTTTCTCCTTTAACTCGACCTGTATTTCATGTGTGTGCGTATGTATATGTTAAGACTCATGTTGTGGAGACAAAAATCTTTTCACACAGGCACGCTGTGGGCACCTATCTCCTTTTTTATTAGGTCTGTATGATATAAATCAGTACATTTTGGGAAATAATTTTGGAAGACATTTTCAGTAAATAAAGATTTTGGTTTGAGGGTTAATCTATTTTCATGTTAAGGTTAAACTAGGAGTAAATTATATGTATGGTTCAGGTAAGTCTGTGTGTCATTAGTGCACAACTTTCCAGGTGCTGCTCTATAAAAATAAACCCTTGAAACAGCCTTGTGCTGTTTTTCAAAATGAGCTTTCATGCACTGATAATTGAAAAACTGTTCTTAGCGTTACCAAACAAGACTTGCAGCACATCAAGTTGGATTTTTATACGACCACTATCTATTCCTTTGAGTGAGTTACACTCTGCAGAGAACGTCGTGCATCTGTTTAAAAAAAAAAGAAAGAAAATGCACTTTAACCTCTTAAGACCCGAGCTCTTGTTTGATATGCATTTTTTTTTATTTCTCTTTGCTATTTGATCAGATGAAATAGCAAAGAGAATAACAAACAAAAAAATGAAAATAAAATACAAATATATTTTTAAAATATTTTTATTTTATTGAACTTTATTTCATTTATTTAAAAAAAACTTTTAAATATAAAAAATAAATAACAATAATAAAATAATATTGATAAAATTAAATAAAAATTAAATACTGTGGTAATATAACCGAAAATGTGATGTCCAAGCATGTGGACGCCAGGTCTTAAGAGGTTAGTTTACCGAAAGTGATTTAGAATTTAATTTGGTCTGGAGCTGTGCTTTTGTCTTCTGTCACTATTTCGTGTGTTTATCGTTCCTTTCTGTGCCTTATGTGACTGTAGTGACTCATTGTGGCCACTGGATGACACTGAAAACTCACAAATAAAGAACACACATTCAAAATAACGCTGCAGAGCTCCAGACTTTTAACACTAGCTATACTGCTGAGCTTCACTTTTTAATTTAGGTACACCAGCACATGATACAGTTGACCTTTTTTGTCAGATTCCACACACATTGGCATTTTTTCCCCATGTCATATACAGTAAGTGATTGTAAACAAGAATAAAGGTGCAGGTAAGGACTGTCCTGGTTGTGGAAGGATGATCACTACAGCTCTTGTTTGGTCATATTAGAAGAAGAATTTTATTAGAATTTATGTAATTGCAAAAATTAAAAGAATCTAAATGGCAAAATGAGTCTACTGTCTGTCAAAATCAGTGTCATTTTGTTGTTTTTTAAGCAATGCAAACAAGCAAACAAGAGCACAATGAATCACAGGCCGTGCTGCTTCTCTTGCTCTGGTACAGAAACCAGGTCCTCCTCGGTGCATGCTGGTCCAATACCTGCTACTGATACACCATAAAGCAAACATAGCGCTACTGTGCACTTACAAAATAAATCAAACAAGCAACAAACTATCCATCCATCCATCATCTATACACCGCTTAATCCTCACGAGGGTCACGGGGGGCTGGAGTCTATCCCAGCTGACTCAGGGTGAAGGCAGGGGACACTTGGACAGGTCACCAGTC